AGTTTTAAAGACCCGAGGAATTTTATTATAATTTCTAAGGACCTCATTCTAAGGGAGCTCTGGGAAAAAAATCATTCAGAAAAACATGAAATGCAATCGAGGTAGTTCTGAGGAATTTTAGATTTCTTATGAAGCCTTAGTTTTGAGTAGAATTCCAAGAAATCTTAGGAATTTCTGAGGAGCACAACTCTTGTGAACTTCACCGGAGAATTCCATGGGCATTCTGATGATAATTTCATAAAGTTTGTCGGAGAAAACGAATCCGGAGCAGAAGTCCTTGGAATCTTTATGAAAATACTAAAAAGAGCATTACAATTAAATCTGAGAATAACTCCAGAACATGTTCATAGGAATTCGGCAGTTTGCCAAACAAATTTTCTGAGGAGAAATGCCAATGAATTGTTAGGAGACTTTCAATGTAATTAGAATTCTAAGGGAAGGAGTGAGATTCAAAAAGAAATCTGGAATGAATTCAATGAATACTCGGAGAATCTTTCCAAAGAATTTCTAATTGTGGAGAATTTCACAGTAATTCCGAGGAAAACTAAAAGAAAATTTAAGGGGAAGCTCACCGGTCCAAAAATAAAAAAATATTTTCGGTACGTTTTTATTTTTCTAAAAATATTGGGAAAAATTATCAAAAATCCAAGAAAATCAGTTTCTTCCTTAGATTTTTGTCAAAAATTACATGCAAAAATTTTTTTTCTATCCCATCATGAAAAAAAATTGGACTCTCAGAAAAACCGAAAAGTTGATGTATTGTGGTTTTTTGAGTCCAACTTTATGCCATAATGACTTATAAAACATGTTTTTGCACGTGAATTTTCTTTAAAAAATTAGAAAAAATGTGATTTTTTTAGGTTTTTGATACTTTTTTTTCAATATTTTTAGAAAAATCAAAACGTAATTATTTTTTTCGAAGCGGTGAACTTCCCCTTAATTCTGAAGATAGCTTCATCGAGATTTGGAGGAAATTTCCGTTAAATATGGAATGAACTATTTTGAGATCTTCAGAATCACTTGAAAATTCTCAAATTTTTCCTGAAACTGCCTTGAAGTTCTGTTGTAGTTTGATAAACTATCCTGATGCTCACAATACTTCTCCTCAAATTCTGAAGTTTCTTCAATTTTTCCAACGATCATGGATCTTCTTTAAAGGTTTAACAATTCACTGAAGTTCTCTAAACTTCTTTAAAATTTATGTGACTTCTCTAATGTTGACGGAACTGCTCTGAGGTTCTCTGTTATTTTCTGAAATTCCCAAAACTTCTCTAAAGTTTGTGCAATTCTCATGAAGCTTGTTGTACTGCGCTGAATTTAATTAAATCGTCCTAAAAATGCTTCAGTGAACTTCTGAACTTATGCAAAGACCTCAAAAAAAATTTTAACATCTCTGAAGTTATGTGAAAATCTGGGAATTGCTATAATTTTCAAGTTTGCGGATCTCATCTCATCAAGCTCCATAGATTTCTATGAAGTAATGTTTCTGAAGACTACTGTCCTTCTGTGAAGTTTCCGAAGTTTTCTAAATTTCTAAATTTCTGGAATTTAATGGGATTATTCTGAAGCTATCTGATCGTCCTCGAAGTACTCGGACCTTCGCTGAATATCATTAAACTGTCTAAAAATATCTAAATTTAGTTCTCTGGAATTTCTTGAAGATATCGCTGCTTGCTAAAAGTTCTCTTCGTTGATGGTCTTTAATCAATTTAGCTGAATTTTCACGTTTTCCGGATGTCCATATAATTTTGATCACGTTCCAGATATTCTCTCGGAGCTTTGCAGAAGTTTCCGTAAATTCTCTGAGTTTCTCGAAACTTCTTTAAGGTTTCTACAATTTCCTTGAAATTATTTGAACTGCCCTTTGATTATCTGATCTGGCTAGATGTTCTCGAAGCTCCCCTAAAGCTCTTAAGCTATTTACGATTATAGATTTCAAACTGCTCCAAAAGTCTAGACTATAGTTACGGGAACGGCTCTTAAGCTCTGAAATTCCCCAAAGATTTCAAGATCCAGCTTCTCTGAGGTGCTTAGAACTTCTTAGAAATTTGCACAATACCCCTCAAGTTTTCTTAAATTTCTCAAGTTCATTTGATACCTGTGAAGTGCTCTGAAATTCTAGGAACTTCATAAAAGTTCCTGAAAAGTCTCGGATGCTAAAAGAACCGCTTTGAGGTTCTTACAGCTTCCAGTAAGTTTCCCATATTTTTAGCGTGGTAACTTCCCTTACGTTCCTGCAGTTTGTTTAAATGGCTTCACTGAAATTCTCAGCATTTCCTTCGCTACAGTTCCTACAATTGTTGTAAAGTTAATGGACCTACAACGATGATCTCTATTCTTTCATAAAGTTAATTATGAACTTGAAGTAAATCATTGATTTTTTTTTACCTAATTCTGGCATTTTGAATATTTTCAATATCTTGTACATGGAATAAGAAACTTCAAGACATTGAATATTTTTAGATCTTGGACTTACTTAATTGGTAAATTCAGATAATTTTATCCAGAAAAATGAGTAGACATCCTGTATAGAGAGAGAGAAAGACGATTAAACGTCACAACGAAATGAATTCACTCTAAAAAAGTTGAAAATAGTGACTTATTACAAGAAAAAATGACTGACTTGAAAAAAGTGACGAAGTCACTAAAAAGTGACTCGCTACCAGCCCTGCCACATGCGGTGATTGAATAAACACAGTTCGGTGAGACCGGAGTAAATTCGATTTTGAAATCTTTGTTAGGGAAAGCGTTTTTCGCAGTCGATCGGTGATAATTTTTATTATAATAGCAACATTCGTGCAATTTTCAATAGTGACCATTTGAAAATTGATAAAAAGCAGTTTCGTAGATGACATTCCAATCGATTGGCGTGTTTAGAATGCATATCCATCTGCTATTGACAGAGTTATAAGTGGTCAAAACCTGACCACTTTTCGTAACGCGGTTGATTTTGGTTTTTTTTTAAATAACACCCCCAATATGTTGCCGAAAGACGTAATCCTACGTCAAAACCCGGAACAGTTCCGAGTAAAATGCGTGTCGATTCATGTTGACATGACTGGTTCTCGGTAAAAATTTTAAGATTGAGCCACTAATTTAAAGGTATGACTATTAACTTTTGAAAGAAACAGCTATGGATGCGTATGTGGACCTAAGGTTAGCCATTTGGGATGGGAAAACCCGTGAGATGGTGCTATGAAATATAATAGAAGAAATATGCTAGCACCATACCAATTCTGCTACCAGGTGGCCAGGAAACGGTCCTATGGATATCCGGATTCAGCGGTAAAATGGTCAATTCCTGCAAGTATACATACAGATCCGCGATTTTTTCTAAATTGCATACAATCATGTGCATAGAAGAAATATGCCATCACCATATCGATTATGCTACCAGGTGGCCAGAAAACGGTCTTATGGGTAACCGGAATGAAAAACCGGCAGATTTACCATTTTCGCTTGCAAGGGCAAAGCTTAACTACAACATGGAAAAAGGTTGGTTGACCGACAGAGGGGAGACGTCTTATGAAATGGAAACTGTATCTAACGACGTTAAGGAGGCAATATTTTGTCAGATGAAAAGCTGATTATAGTCACCAATAAAAGAAAGGCTGGCAGGCCTCCTAGCCTAGTCAGTAAAGGCACGGTATTACCAAGCCGGAGGCGGCGGGTTTGATTCCCGATCCGATTGAGGGAATTTTTCGGGTTGGAAATTTTCTCAACTTCCCTGGACATAGAATATCATTGTGCTTGCCACACAATATACAAATTCATGCATTGGTATTGGCATTGAAAGCTCTCAACTAATAACTGTGGAAGTGCATTTAGAACACTAAGTTGAGAGCACGCAATAAGCTAATATGCGCTAAGCAATAAGCTTGAAAATGCGAGTAAGAAGAAGAAGAAAAGAAAGACTGGCAAAATATTCAGCAAGCTTGTCGACTACTACCGTAGGGTCTCTGGATATCCCGTTCTCGTATCTGATGGCTATTCTCTTTCTTCCCGCTAAGGGAATTTACCCTACCCCACAGTTCAGTGGTAGACTGGTTGGTATTGACCCCGTCGATAAAATCTTCCCAATTTTTGCGTCTTGCGTCTCTGATGATCAGTCTGCATTCATTTCTCTTTGAGCGATATTCTGATATCATACTTTCTTTTTCTGGGTGATTGGTCGGAAGCCTCTTCACTGCTCTCATTGCCTTTCTTATAGCTTTGATAGCCGGAATGGTCTCCGGGGAGCACCAATGCAGGGCTTTACAGCTGGGAGTTGAACTAGTCCTTGGTATTGCAACCTTTAGCCCCCGCGTAAAGTTCGGGTTCCATCGTTTAGTATAACTAAATCGTAGTCTTCAGCAATCCCTGCGCAGATAGTAACTCTGGAATCTAAGATGTAGGAGCCAGGGTTCTTCACCAAGGACCAACCGAGGATAGTCAATTTGTTCAAAAAGATTCTGAAGTTTTGCACCCAGGTTAGGTAGATCGCGGCACTGTTCAAAATCTGATAAAAATTGCCTTCTTGGACCATAACAGTTTATAGTAGCGTTTCTACCGATTTTCCCCTGAAGCAAACTCTCTATAACTAGATATCGAGTTATACAACTATAGTAGCAATTAATTTCATTGCTACTGCTATGGTGATTTCCTATGCGATTATTCTATAACTCGATAATTTTATAACTACAATATCAAATTGTAGAGAGTTCATCGTACTTGCCATCTCAACATATCAAAAAACTTATGCATTTGAACAAGAAAACAGATGATATCAATCTTCTTCTCCTTGTTCTTCGCATTTCCGTTTATCGCTTATCACATACTAGCTTATTATATTATTGACCACTTCCACAGTTATTAATTGAGAGCTTTCGATGCCTGTACCGTTTTTGCATTAGTATAATTGTGTGGCAAGTACAATCATACTGAAGTCAAGGAAATCATTTCGAGATATGTCCTCAGAATAACACAGTATTTATATTGCATAATATTTTTATTTTTATTTAACAATTCACAAATCAGGTTTTGTGGCAGTGATTCGGGATCTTAGTTCGTTTGAATGAGCATGTGTGTGTACTTATATCGAGTTACTTTTTGTTTGTTTTACATTTACAACTAAGTCAAAGATGTTTGATGGTAGATTCCCCTCCTGACTTATGATGTTATTCAGTCCTTTGTAGTTTCGTTCTTACCTAAGTTTAGCCTAGTTCCCCTTTGTATTATTCTATTTGTGTGTGTGTCTTTGTACCTTATTGCTAATTTCTTACAAATAAATTACTTAACATCTTAGGGAAGGTGCACCAGCTCAGCACTACTTCAAAATGGCACCAGTTTTAGCATGTACCAGCAATAGTCTATGGGATTCAAATGTAGTAGGGCCATAACTGATACCATCGAGTATATGGAAATGTGCCATAACTTGTGCGCATAGCATAACTGCATCAGTTACCCTATAGGAATACTTCTTGCTGAATGCAAACAAATAATCTAGCGTCATCCGTATCAATCTTCCGTGAATCATATCCAATAAACATGTAGCAGTTTGTCTTGATAACCGGGAACCCCAACTATTTGAAGCACACGGGACCCACTTGGAAACCGAATGCCTGTTGTGGTTGACCGTAATCCACAGGGTAGAAATCGATTATGGGAAGGTACTGCAATTTAGTCGTTCGAATTTCGAAAATTGTTTCACTCTTGCTTTTGCCTGTTTTACAGCCATCCATCAGGATGTTCGGTCGCAGTTTAGAATTCTCGTAACCCATATCGATCTCGTTGTCCCCAAGGAAGTGGATTGCATCGTCATGGTTGTCTTCCTGAGTGCTGTACCAAGCCACACTGTTCATACAGGTGTACGTGAAATTTTGATAAGCGCCTTCGGACAGTAACCGTAGGAATGTCATCTGGACAACTCCGACCGTTTCGTACGAAATCTGAAAAATAATGTTTATATTAGAAGTCATAGTCGATGAAACCAACCCCTAGAATTACCCTGAATCCGCCTCTGAGATTTGAATACCAATCTGTCTTATCGTTTTCCTTTCTCCAGGGGATATTCGGCATCTGAGAGCTGTGCAAATCCGGAAAGACGCAAGTTTCTCCCTCAGCCGTCATGTTACAGTAGACGTACACGGCATCATCCGCCATACCCAGATTCGGATCGATCCAGTACCAACCTATGAGGTAAGCGTATAAGTCAGGAAGAAACGATACCGTCTTTCTGATTTATCTACTTACCGTCCTTGAATTGCGGATGACCGTAGTGCAAATCACGACAAGTCCTGCCAGGATTTTCCCTGGCTCCAACGGGTTTCCTTATTCGATCGAGTTCCTGCCGCATGGAGTAGATGGAGCTGTACATATCCAAAAACTTCGGACCCAAATCGTCCTTGACCTTCTTCTTTTTCTTTTTCTTCTTTGGCTCAATCTTCAACAGCTCTTCATCAAAGTCATCATCCTCTTCCGGAATGTCATCCGCTTCTCGTTTCATTCGATCTTCGCCTTTCGTTATTGAAAATTCGGACATTCTGAATAACAGCTCTGGTGGAATCAGGGGAGCTTCTGCTGGGGGACCTGGTGGCCCCGGTGGTCCCGATGGCCCTGACTCACCCTTTAGACCAGCCACGCCTTCTGAACCCTTCGGGCCTACTGGTCCTTCATTTCCATGAGGACCCTGAGGGCCGTCATTTCCCTTCAATCCAATAGGGCCAACCGGGCCAGGGGGTCCTTTTGGTCCATCTGGGCCAGGATTACCTCTAACGCCCTTATCACCTTTCTCGCCACTATCACCTTTTAATCCAACCATACCAAGTTCGCCTCTATGTCCTTTCAAACCACGTCGTCCTCGGTCACCTTTCTGACCCTTTGAACCGGTTTCTCCAATCTTTCCCGGTGCTCCCGACTCTCCTGATTTGCCAACAGGCCCAATTTCTCCCTGGAAAAAAAATGTCCAATTCTCAGTTTTCGTAAAAACAAAATGGTAAAATTCATCACTTACAGAAGGACCCGGCGATCCTCGAAGGCCAGTCAGTCCTTGAGATCCTGGCATTCCTTGCGGACCAATAAGACCAGGATTACCGATTGGTCCTGGAAGTCCTCTGTCTCCTTTTTCCCCTGGTAAGCCAGCCGATCCTTGCATTCCCGCTGCGCCTTCAGGTCCCATTTTACCTGGTGGTCCTACCTCACCTGGCAGACCGGGTGGCCCTGGATCACCAGATTGCCCAGCATCACCTTGTTTTCCATCTTCGCCATCTTTTCCGGTTTCACCCTTGGGTCCAACAACACCGGGTTCTCCAGGATTTCCAGGAAAACCAGGAGGTCCCGCTACACCCTTTGGGCCTTCTGGGCCCGCCGGTCCTCTCTTTCCTGGTGGCCCAGGTTGACCACTTTTGCCTTCTTCACCTTTTGGACCAGGAGAACCTTTTTCGCCATCCTTTCCTTCCGGTCCATCTGGACCTGGAGGACCCTGTGATCCAGTTTCACCAATCAATCCTTTGGGTAAAAAAGCAATCATCAAGACATTTGTTCCATTGATCAAAAATCTAATGCATACCTTGCGGTCCTGGTGGACCAGTGGCACCAGGAGCTCCTTCAGCACCGCGTGGTCCTCGTCTACCTGGTTCGCCCGGTGGTCCGATTGATCCAGTAGGTCCAATAGGCCCATCATCACCACGATCTCCCTTAATCCCTGATGGTCCAGGCATTCCTTGTGCACCTGCTGGCCCAGGTGGGCCGGGAAGCCCAGTCGGCCCATCTTCTCCCTTTGATCCAGCACGTCCCATCTCACCGGGTGGGCCCTTCTCGCCTGGAGGTCCTATTGCTCCTGGTTCACCACGACTGCCTTGAGGACCGGCCGAACCAACAGGACCCTTTTGTGGAATATTCTCGTTATTTTCATCCAAAACTTAATATGGACATTAAAAAACTTACAGCTTCGCCCTGCGCACCTTTGTACCCCTTTTCTCCGGGCGGTCCAATGTCTCCTTTATCGCCATCTTCACCTGGTGGACCTTGCGGTCCAGGAGGTCCTGTTAGGCCACGTTGACCCGGCAACCCGTCACGTCCAATCGGTCCCATTAGTCCCATTTCACCTCGTTCACCCTTCAAACCAGCTGGCCCTGTGGGTCCTGTTGGCCCTCTTCGGCCCTCAGGTCCAGGTGGACCTTCTTTTCCAGGATCACCAGGCTGGCCTTTGTCACCAACCGGACCCTGTAGACCAGGTACACCTATCTCTCCTTTCAATCCGGGTAGGCCCTAAATTAATAAGAATTGGTTTTGTCAGGACATCTTAACCTCAGAATAAATTTAAACTTACAGGCATTCCCATCATTCCTCGTTCTCCGGGGAATCCTGGTAGACCTTGTCCACCAGGAGGGCCATTCTTGCCAGGTGGTCCAGGAGGACCAACTTGCCCTTCTTTGCCACTGTCTCCGGGAACTCCTGGTTCACCAGGCATTCCTGACAATCCCGGTATTCCTGGTTCACCAACAGGACCTGGTTCACCCGTTGGCCCTTGCGGACCGATTACGCCCGGAGCACCAGTTGGGCCAGGATTACCGTTTTCTCCCTGAAAATTTCAGTTATATTAATGACAAATTTAAAATCAAACAGATATATCATCGTCCATACCGGTGGGCCTCGTTCACCCGGCGTGCCTTGAGGACCGTCTTTACCATTATTGCCTGGTGGTCCAGGAAGGCCTATGAAACCACGTGGACCTTCCATACCTTGAGCACCCATTTCACCTTGTGCCCCCGGTGCTCCTGGTTGCCCGGTGTCACCTTTAGGTCCAGGAGTTCCATCGGCTCCTCGTCGTCCTCGTGGTCCTCGGAATCCCCTGGGACCCATCTCTCCCCGTTCTCCTTGAAGTCCCGTATTTCCCTAGTGGAACACGACCAAGTGAGTTAAAAAGCAAACACCCAGATGCAAAAAGATCTCTTACCCGTTCACCTTTATCGCCAACCAAACCAGTAATGCCAACCAATCCTTTATCACCCTTGTCACCTGTCGGACCAGGATATCCAGCAAATCCTTGAACACCTTGTTTGCCTTTTTCTCCGGATAATCCCATCTGACCCGATTCTCCGCGAGGACCTTCGAATCCCTTAGGTCCTTCTGGTCCTTCAATACCGGTGATTCCTTGTGGGCCAGTTGATCCTCGTTCTCCTGGCGGTCCCATATCACCCTTTTCACCATCGTGGCCCCGTTCACCTTTATCACCTCTATCACCTGGAGAACCGCGTTCGCCGTCGTCACCTTTTGGGCCTCGGTTTCCGGGAAAGCCTATTGATCCCTGCACTCCTTGCGGTCCCATATCACCTTTAGGGCCAACGATCCCAGGATTCCCTTCACGCCCTGGTGCACCATCTGCTCCGGGCAACCCGGGCAGGCCAGGTTTTCCATGAGGACCCTGAATTCCTATAATTAATACAAACGTGTCAGAATTAGATTAGATTTAATTAATACTACGATGCTACATACCTGGCGGTCCCATATTTCCTTGAGGACCTGGAGGACCAACCGGTCCTGAAGTACCAGTTTGACCTGGTGCACCTGGTTGACCTTGTGGACCGGGGTTCCCTTTAACTCCCGGCAACCCTTCAGTTCCAGGAATTCCGGGATTGCCTGTTGGACCTGGGAAACCACGAGGTCCTGCGAAACCACGAGGACCTAACTCTCCAGGAAGACCTGTAAAAGTGGATTATTGTCAGCGATGGTTGCATGGTTTTATTTACCAACTCTCTTATACCGGGTAATCCTGGCGGTCCATCTTCTCCCTGAATTCCTTCATGACCTTGCGTTCCCTTTTCGCCAACGTTACCATGTCTACCACGCTCGCCTTTCTCTCCAGGCATACCCGGCAACCCGACCGACCCTGGTTCTCCTTTAGGACCATGTAAACCGACATTTCCTCTTTCACCATCCCTTCCGGCTCGCCCTCGTCTTCCTTCGCGACCGGGAAGTCCATGAGATCCCCGCAAGCCTCGAGGCCCCTATTACGGATCGATTTAATACATTCATAGAACAAATGCAATATTTTTTAACTATACTTACGGGCTCTCCGGTGTCACCTGGTTCACCTTTTGTTCCTTCCGGACCGGGTGGACCAACTGGTCCGGGAACACCTGTCAGGCCCAAGGGGCCATCGACGCCTCTCATCGCCATCATGTGCTGGGATAACATTGCGCGGAATGCCTCCGCCTGTGAGTCGGGACCCTTCTCGTTGGCTGTTTGACTCAAAGGAATCATGAACACATGACCTGCTTGACCTGGAGGACCATTCTGCCCCGGTAATCCGTCACGACCAGGTTCACCTTTCGGTCCCGGATCTCCGGGAGGACCTCTGGGTCCCATTATTGTTCGAAAGCCGGTAATGCTATAGTTGCCGGAGGCTGATGCGGGGAATGACACAGAAGTGTCCTGGAAAAATTAGAAATTTGTTTTAAAAAAGATCGGAGTGAGGATTACGGTGGTAGTTACCTCAGATGGATCAATAATAGGTTCTTGATCACTTTCCACAGTTGGTTGCCCTCCCTCAGGTCGATTATTATTTGAAGCCGATGAATCAAACTCTGGATCCGGCAGCGGTAGAATTGGTCTTCGTCCAGTCTGATCGTAAACACCAGGATTTGACCTATTGACTTCCACTCGATGCCATTCATCATTGCTTCTTTGCGTACTTGTACTATACTGTTGGTGCTCGACCTGTTTGTCTTCGCCTTCCAGTTCTAAATTGTTATAATACTCATCATCCTCTCCAATGATCTCCAAACCGTCCGCATCACCAGTTATATCTACAAACTCTCGATGTCCTTCATAGTTGTCAGCAGATGAACCCGAAGATGTACCAACAAATCTATTGACTTGATCTCTTGTATTGCCGTAACCTTGACTTTGGTGATGTGAAGAAGATGACCCATTCAGTCCTGATGTAGTGTGAACTGAATGAACGTTCGAAATTACATGCGTTGAGCCATATCCTTCTGCCCCTAAGCAATCAGGAGCATATTTGGTACATATGTGAAAGCCTTCATCTGGAGTATTGGCAAACATGAATAGTTGAAGATCTCCCTGAAATTCATAATATTAGACGTGTCACCGTGTTCCTATGTCCACCCAAAACTTACAGTGAAAAATCCATCATCCTCGTTGAGTTGCACACCTGTCAAAACCAATCCATCGGTAGAAATAACCGAACCAGGTTCCCGTCTCAATCGCCGAGTAATCTGCTGGTGACAATCCATGATCAAGGTAACGGAGTCTCCCTTGACGCTGATTCCCAGCCGATGCCACCGTTCATCATCGATGCTCACTCCGAAACTGATCAAGCTTTCCTCTTCCGGATTTCCATCCGTGTCCTGGTAGTACAAGGCAACTTCCATTCCAACCATCAGCATTAGAACCTCCTCAGAATCGGATGAGTACACCGAAAACAGTGGAACTCGTACCAAATTGGGGGAGGCTTTTAGCACGGCGAGGATCGAAAAATCCGTTGGGAAGCCATTTGGGAAAACCTGGGTCGTTCCTATGCTGAGCACGGTGTCTCGGTTCAGGCTATATGCTGCCGCTGGGTAGGTTTGATACTCGTTGCGTGTTTCATTACACATTCCCGGAGCTGCTGTCACACCGGATGGAAGTTTGGGTATGCCAAACTCTTCGATTAGGTCCACTAAGCCATCTGATGGGATAAAAGGTTTAGATTTTTAGGCACTTTAAAACTACACTGAACGATCAATTCTACAGCAATTTATACAATAGTATTATGAATATTAGCCAATAGTAATCCGTATTGGCTTTTGCATTTATAATTCCAGGTTTATTAATCTAAAATGCTGTATGTATTGTCCATATGAATTCTCATGAAGTAAACATTCACTAACTGTAAGGAGCTTATAAGTTCTACTTCGCAATGCAATAAGTCAAAATCATCAAGCTTTTGTGAATTTACGTAGCTGAAACTAAATCTGGTGGTAATGTTTGAAGTTCAAACAACTACCAAGTGAATCTTGAAATATTGAGCGTACAGCCACAGACAAACAGACGTAACTCTTCATTGTTTATCTTCATTCGTGCATTTAACGATTGATTTGAATATACGGAATTTGGTACGGGATCGACGGTAAACATGCTCACGTCGGTGAACAGGATTACCGGATTTTTTCGCTTAAGGAAGTTCAAGATTTTTTTGCATCGTTCGACTCGTAGCTCCCGGATGCGGTTGGTCATCATGTGAGTTTTTTTCCGTGCCCTCGACTTTGCCCAGAAATCTTCCTTTACGATCTCCCGTGCCGTAAAGTCACTGATCCCGTGTTCCTTTGCCATGTTCCTTATTGAACGCACTGGATTCACCCGAATCTTCCTTTTGATAGCAGCGATAACCCTCGGAACCCGAGCTGACCTCGGACGACCTGTGGCCACCTTTGCGGATAGTTGTTCTTTCTTTTCTCGGTCTAAAACCCTTTTGACGGTCCACCGGGACACTCCCACGGCGATTGAAATGTCTTTTTGAAAAATTTGCGCGTGGGACAAATCACGAATACGCTGCCACTTCGTCATGGTGCAACTGTCAAACTAAGTAAATCATTTTCTTTTATACACAGCCTACTACGGTATGTGCTATAGGTTACGTGCATGCAAAGAAAACCAAGGCATTGTATGCACAGGTGAAACGGGAACCTTATTTGTACGATGGTGCAAACATTATCACGCAATGTTGGTACGAGGAAATGTCTGTATCTATAATTTGGAATAGCTTGAATGTAGAGGGCAGGGGATTTTGTAAATATTATCTCAAAGTTTTGCAACCTACACACTTAGAAAAAAATCATGTAAATTTAAGTGCTCTGAGAGTGACATATACGAGCGTCAATTTTGACATAAATTTGAGTCATAACAGACGCGAAATATAGCTCAATCAAACGTACTTTTCGTCGAGCAACGAACTTTTCAGTCTCAGAGCACTTAATTTTACATGGCATATATGTTTACGTCTCATCTTCCATGTCAAAGACAGATTCCGTAACGTGTAAAATCCGGAGAACTTTGAGATTAGTGCATAATTGCTTTTGTAAACAAACACGTCGTTTGCCGATTTTTCGCGAATTGAAGCTTAATCTCAAAAACTAACAACACAAACAGGTAGAGGAATGATTCATCTATCATTTGGTATAGTTTGTATCATTTGCGAAATTGTGATTTCACGAGATCTCGGCGATGTACGTGTTTGTTTACAAAAGCAATTACGCCCAAATCTGAAATTAGTTATTTCTAAGTGTGCAGCTTTACATTTTACATAAACAGCTAGTTCTCACTTTACATAAACATATAATGTTGTGAATAATAATACCAATAGCGAATTGCTGTCAGTTTCAGGGTTGTTACGATAAATTTAAAAAATAAAATCAGCTCCAAATCCACTTCACCTTTAATTTAAAGGTTAAAATTAAACTTTTTAATTAGGATTTTCCAACGGGAAATATCTCAACATGTTTTGGAACTTTTGTTCACCTCCATGAGACTATGATGAACTTTTCCAGAACTTTCTTAACATTCACCAAGTGTAATACACTTCCATGAGATTCTCAAAATTATTATTAGTTATCCTGAACTTCTTGTATGTTTTTGAATAGTTTTTGAGGCTTTTGAGCTTTGTTTTTGTTTTCTAGGCATAATTAAAGTACTGAGATTCCTTAATATCCTGTAATTTTATGAGGTATTTCCAAGATTTTCTAACATTTCTTTTTTCTTTTGGCGTTAGTCTCTTTTTGAAATTTCTCATGAAAGTCATCTTCTAGAGACTTTTAAAACTCTTTAAGACGAATGTTTTATAGCGAGATTTGTTGTATGTAGTATAAAAACGTTAATAACTCTTGATCGGCGAAAGATATTGACAAGCTTTATGCAGCAAAAATTTGCGCATTCTTAAGATCTAAAAGTGGATAGTGGATAGGTTCATAATTGATTCGCTAGGTAAGGCCAGAGTACAAATAAAGTTCATCCATTGGATAGGATTTCCATTCCCATGAACGATTTTTCGAGATATCCAGGATTTCATTATTTTTTAAGATTGCATCTGATTCAGCTGAACTTTTTTTTACGTTGTTATCAATCGTTAGTGAAAGATTAAAAAATATGAGATACAGCTAAATTAAGCGCATCTGAAGTAACCTAAAAGTTCACTGATTGTCTTTGTTGTAATAGGGCTAAGACAGCGGCGCCAGTGGTGTAGTAGTAAGGGAAGTAAAGCCGTTGGTCCCCGGTCCATGAGCTGATGGGTCGATAGGTAGGGTCCAGGTGTGGGAGCTGCCTTCCTGGCTTCAGCAGCATTGGTACCCAGCACCAAGAGCGTAGTCAGGTTTCGAGCTAAGGATGGTCGAAAAAAAATTTAGTATGGAAAATTTGGCCGAATGCCATTTCGCTGAACGCCATTTCACCGAAAGCCTTTGTGTTGCTGAGTCTAGGGGGGGGGGGGGGCAGTTGCGCTCCCCTGCCCCCTCTGGCTACCCCTATGCTCAGCACGGAAAACAGTATCGAAGGAAAAAAGATCTAATAAGATCTAATTTTCGGCCTACTAAGTAAAACCCGCACGTTACCTCTCTTTTTCGATCGGATTTTTGCACAAAGTGGATTGTTTCTACTGCAGATGACTTCTAAAATTGCTTCCCTTTCCTTTGTTGGATTCGATAAAAAGTCACATGTGGGTCATTCCAGCTCAAGTGGGTACACCACCTGTGGTCGATGTCACCGATTTGAGGCCGAACTGTTATTTTGGCATTCTGAATTGATTCCTTCATGAATATTTGGTTAAAAATACAATACTGCTTAGTTAGTTAGTTTGCGTGGGTGAGCGAAGAGTTTCGACAAATCGACGATTAAATCTTAGTTTTTTTTTTTTTTAAATTAATATTATTACTTTTGCCACACCACATTCGAATCTGCCGAGGAGAGAAGGGCAATAAAAATGTTTATAAAATATATAAAACTTTAAATAAGGAGTTAAATCAAAACTTAAAAGTATATTCCGACCATATAAGATTCTTTTTAAACATGAGATCCACTTGCATACTTCTCAACCGCGGTATTTGAATGGCAGCATTCAATAACAAATCTGGACTTAAAATATGTTAATAAAATATTGTAAACTTCACGATATTAATAAATTCAGATAAGTGTTGCAATTTAAACATTTCAAACATTTTATAAAAATATTCTGAGGGGCTGCCCAATATTCTTCCCTTCCTTAAGTGTTCATCATCAACTTTCAACACTACCCTTCCCCTCTTTAATAGATCAATGTGGTTATGGACACTTCCAATGTTACAGTCAGGCATGGACAATCATTTACAAAATCAATCGTACATTCATTTACATTCATTTGTCTTTTACTTTTTTCATCAACAGAATTCCGTAAAGTAATGTATGAAGCTTTTGTAGGTTTTATAATTAGCTACAACTTTTGTCAACAAATCAAATCTGTATCTCTTTGCATGATGAACGATAGTAAACTGAACCCACCATTGTTTTTGAGTGAATGTAAATTACATTCACCGAAAAACAATAACATGCTCTGCCCTCTCTAGTTCATCATGCATTAGAGATACCGATTTGAGTTGTTGACAAAAGCTTCATACATTACATTACGGAATTCTGTTGATGAAAAAAGTTAGAGGCAAATGAATGTCAATGAATGTACGAAATTAATGCAAATGGTTTTCCATGCCTGGTTACAGTTAAAAATTTCCGAATATCTACTGAAATGTGGAATGTGAGATTTTGAACTTTGAAATTGTAATTCTAGAGATTCCAGGATTTTTGATTTTTTTTTTAAAGATACTGTAGTATTGATTGTGATTAGAATTCCAGGTGAAATTTAATAAGAAGTGAATGGTCTTTTGATGAGAATTTGTAAGAAATTCTAAAGCAACCTTTTTTTTAATTTTGAGGATAAATTCAAGGAATAGTGAGAAGAAATTTAAGAGATTCAAGGGTGAGAAGTTTTTTTTTTAAAGTTTTAAAGGACTTCAGGAGATAATTCTAAGGAGTATTCCCGTAACGCGGGTAGACCACCTTTTCTCGGTGCGTCACTGGTGTAAGATCTACCAAATCGAGCCCTGGCCTTAAGCTATTCTTTGGGTCTCAAAACTCTTCAAATGATATGGAACATCAAAATTGAATGAGGATTATTGTTAGGCTTATTTGATGAGAGGGTGCGTCTTAGGAAAGATCCCAGATCTTGGCACATCACCAAGAGAAAAGCAAGTTTGAATGATTACTGTATCGAAAACGATAGTTATGAGGTAGTACGACATAGTAATGAGGAATTAGTATAGCGAGCGGAATTCCTATAAATGCAAAGGATGTTTTTCAAAATAATTTCTTCAGTGTTCACTCGGCTGTCGACAAAAGCAGGCCACTCTCGATGTGTGCTACGCGGTCGTCTGTTTTCTCGGCAGCAACCATTGTGTGGTCCTCCTCATTGTTCTTCATCAGCAGTTCTTTCGGTCGATGCGTCGTCGACTTTGGAAAGCAACCGTTTCGTGATGAGTGTGTGAGTGCTGACCACGTTTTGCGTCCATTGCTGCAATGGACGCGCTCTGACCCTCGTTGGCGTACAACAATTTGCCATACAATGAAACCACTGGAAGCGGCTCCAGTTCTGATGGAGGAGGCTTTTTGGATAGCGGAAGATAAAGTGTTTATTGTGTTGTACCTTTTGACTATAGTTTTAAGATCTATTGTATAGTGACCAAGAATCCTCGGCTCTGTAAAGTTAATTCGGTTGAGCCTTATCAAATAAATAAATAAACAAAATAATTTCTTCTGCTTGAGAATCTACCATTGGTGTTTAACATGATTTATACCTATGTCATTTTGTGTGTTTAAATTTGTATGTGATCCTTCAATTTATATTTGTCATAAAATTTCTTTGATGTAAAATACTGATGTGGTTTTCTCATCATTATTTACTTTATGCGGCTGTGTGAGTGTACTTTGGAACCATACTTTGAATAATAAAACCTAGTATTTTGTGTTTCATATAAAAAACCTTTAAGATGCATAAAAAAAGTTCTTCGACGTTACAAAAAAACATTGACATTAGCAACTGCAAAGCAGCTTGGTGAATCGAAAAAGGAAAACTAGTTATGAAACATTTCGTGAAGATTAGTGCGAAATACGGTTTCATAGAGAATAACAAAGCTAACTTTAGAATTTATAATCGGACATCGAATTGTATCATACAGCTTGAAGACACTAAAAAGTTCAAATCCTCATGAATAAAGCAGGAACTTGATCCTTCTTTCACAACCAAGAAATCAAAAATATTTCAAAATTACAAAATGACAAGCGATCAACGAGCCGAATGATAACGCTATGTCAGCAATGGAAACGATCTTGACATTTGGTCAAAGGTATGTTAAGGCAATATTGATATTAGCTTAGAAACATATATCATGGATAAAAAAGGAAGCAACATATTTTGTATCTAGCTAGTATAAATTTAATCTCGTCAGTTCTGACTACTGCGCTTAATATTGGCACAATCTACTCATATATCCCGAGATAAAATGGAATACAAATGTTGGGGGTTCTATTTTCATGGTGTGGGTTGCTCTATCGCGTAGAGAAAACAAAAATCAATCTACACCAGAATGATCTCTGAATGGATTGTAGAACTTCTGAATAATGTTTTGATGCCATTTGCAGAGCTCAAATTTAACTTTCAACTGAATAGTGCCATAATGCACGTGAGCAATGTGTTAAACACATGTTTTTAATTGCAAATTATCCAGCTATTGAACTAGTCAGCATGTAACACCGATCTTAATCCCATTGAAAATCGTTGGAGGATCCTGACAAGATGGGTATACAGTGGTAGAGAGCAGTTGAGGAACTATTAGCGCCTGCAGATGAATGGCATAAATTACTCTAAAAAATATTAAAAATCACGTTGATTCCATGCAGAAACGGATTTATGTAACAATTCTGGAAAATGAGAAACAAATCACATACTCATTTTAGTAGTCCTTTAACTTATACTAGATCCTGTTTCTTGGTATAAAATTTCCATCCATAAAAGGTGTTTAGTTATTTTAAATAAAAATTCATACATTCAATATATTGTCTAGTAGTAAAGATAACTGTCTACTACAATCAATACTTATGCTTTGGGTTTGACATTCAAATGGATCATAAAATCGAAACATTACTAGGCGCTAATAGAGATTGCTCGTTCTGAATTAGATAACACGGCAATAACAACTCGATTATCGCAATGATGAGTAGCTTAAGGGTTTAGGAAAACTAAAAAAAAAAACAAATCACTGTTCTTTGAAATCAGTTTGAAAATTGTATTTTTTTTTTTTAATTATTGAAATACAAATAAAGCATTACAGGTACAGATCATCACAACGGCGCCGGTGGTGTAGTGGTAAGCATGATTACCTCTCAGCCCAGCAGGCCTGGGCTCAATCCCAGTCGGCGCCGCCGGGATGTTCTAAGGCATAACATCTCTGATCACGCCTTCCTTCAGATGGGATGTAAAGCCGTTGGTCCCCGGTTCATGAGTTGATGGGTCGATAGTTAGGGTCCAGGTGTGGAAGCTGCCTTCCTGGCACGTCGGTAGCATTGGTGCTCAGCACGGAAAACAAGATCGACGGAAAAAAACAAACCAAAGGAAAAAAAAAAGGTACAGATCATGAGCAAGCGATCAAACGTGTTACAATCTTTTAGGGCGATCAAAATTTTATCCATACAGAATTCAAAAAAAAAAAACACAAATTACACAGTTGAAGATGCTAATTTCAAATAACAGACTGTAGTGGTAATTTTTATACGATAGATGGAGTAGATGAAAGCATAGAGTTGATAGTTCCGTTAGAGTACGGCAGTGTGAAGATTGCATATAGATATTAGAATAGCGAGCTAGCACAACTTTTAAGGAAGGTACAAATCGGTTTTTTCATCTCTCTTTACCAAACTCCCCCTTTGGAGAGGGATGGTGAGGGGTGTCCGTGAGTGCTATACGAAGAAAAAAAAATTAAAACTATTTGTCAAATAACTTTAAAGCACTATCCTCTTAATACATAAGCCGTTCAAAATCTTAAAAGTAGGCGACATTGACTAATTTGATAATTTTATCACATTGTTTATCGATTGCTACACACACTTGGTCCCAAAAAAAGGTTTTGTCAAGGTGAAATTTAAATTTCACATAGCTTACATGTTCTCTAAATTATTAAGATGTAAGATATTTGTTGTATCACATCTTCAAATTCTTTTGCATGATCCGACTTATTTCAAACAGATGAATAAAGATAAAACTATAAATTGTGCAATGAATGAGCCAACAGTTCTCGAAACCGTACCGTATGGATTTGTTTTTAATATATTTAATGTACCCAATGTCAGTCTTTGATTCTATAATCAAGTAAAGTTTTTGGTAAATTAAGTAATCATATATGGGGTTAGAAAATACTACATACCTTTAGACACTGCATCGCTCCCTCCCAGCAGTCCAACGGCAATAATCACAATGACTGCACTAATCCTAAGTTGTTCCACCGGCAATCGGACACCGAAGGCCGCCATTAATCCTTTCAGCTGCCGATGGGACAATCGTTTATCTATCATCTTCACAATTTGCATACTATTTTTTAACAGCGATGTCGCTAATCGATTGCACTAAGATATAATTGGGCTCTTTTTTCCTTCTCATATCATCTAGCTTATCCGCCCGTATCGAATGATAACACTGCAAAAAAAAAATCGAAACGAACAAAATTTGTTAACTTTATCACCACGTGTACAACAACACTATGTCAGTAGGCCATGCGTTTTTCAGACTTTCGGTGGTTTTCAACCCCTTCTCGTGAGACTCGGTGACGTCGTCGTTTCATTTCCACTTGGTTAAAATTGCTTATCACATTCTCTGCTTTCTAGTTTCTAATTTTAAACTCGATTAGGTGATATCTTACAGTTTTTATCAGTTATGCAAAATAAATGAACAGTCATTTCAATGTTTAAAATTCATTTGGTATCTTAAGTATTTCCGAAAAAAGTGAATGAAGTTTAACTTATTTTAAATCAATTCAATATCTAACATAATGGTATCGATTTTACAGTAATACTGGTTAGGTTCTATTCAAATGAAGTGGTAGCAGTATTAATAGTAGACCGAGAAATAACTGCAACATTTGGCTAGGATCATTGAACTCATCTAAAACCATCTAATTTGTATCAAAGTTTTACTTATCACTGGAACACAAAATCACTTGTTCTAATTTCAATCTGCCAGATCACTATCACTTACTTTTCACGACTATTTAAGCGTCCGCGCTGCTAGCCCTCGGAAAACCAATCACCGACTGGCTTACACTAAGCAAACGCACTCAGTTTTCAAGACTTTTTAAATGTTCTCCAGAATGCGAACAGAATCAGTTGGGACAATGGGTCGCCATGTACAGAGTGATCAACAATGTTTCTAGATTGCAAAGTAAAACGGTCAACATTTTTCAAGCCTGCCGTTTCAGAGAACTACAGTTAAAGAGCTACGTCTTACCAAGCCATTTAATTTTATTACCAAACGGTGCCCACTGCTCCCACTGTGCACAGCTTCACCCACAATATGTCACCCTCGCGATAGCAATTGTCGCTGAAAGAAGTCAATTTCTCTTCCATATGTTCGCCACGACATTGTACTTGTATGGTAGTGAAATGAAGAGCAAACGTTTAGAAATTCAACCATCAGTACGGAATACACACGTTCTCACAAGCAAAAATGCTAGCGTGGCTCAAAACGACTGCGTGACGGAAAAACTATTAGAAATATTTTGCAATAAATATGAATGTGTCCGCATAAATGAATGAATAGATAGCGATCGATGGACGCGACCATCGCAATGTTCGGTTCAGCATCAGCGCGTTCCAATTAATAGAACTTAATTGCAAAGGCAGATGTTGCCCTGTGGTTGACTTTGCAATGGAGCGATCCGATTTTTGCAAACGATAGGGGCAACAGAAGGAGAGCACTTTCAATTTCCCTGCGGACGAGTAAAATTTTTGCTGTTTTAAGTTTTCATGAATACGACAGAGAAAAACGTTGATCCTTTTCAGAAAGATTATGAATTATTAACATAAATTTATATACAAAATTTGCTCAATTTCCTATAATAGGTCCATAGTAGCTGTACATCTAGTAGAAATTTACATTAGACAAACACAAAAATAAATAAAAGTTATCATTTTCTACGGGCCATTGATTGGCGCTTTTTGGGACCATGAATGGTATGCATCTCTAGAAAACGCTCCTGCGAACGGCATAGACGAATGTGAGGGGAACTCCTTGGCCGACGGAGGCGATACATTCGACTTTAAGGTGATACTCTAAAGAAGCCTTAGCGTGAACCTTTAAAGGCACAATATTCTTCTTAACGGCGCCGGTGGTGTAGTGGTAAGCGTGATTACCTCTCAACCCAGCAGGCCTGGGTTCAATCCCAGTCGGCGCCGCCGGGATGTTCTGAGGCATAACATCTCTGATCACGCCTTCCTTCGGATGGGAAGTAAAGCCGTTGGTCCCCGGTCCATGAGTTGATGGGTCGATAGGTAGGGTCCAGATGTGGGAGCTGCCTTCCTGGCACGTCGGTAGCATTGGTGCTCAGCACGGAAAACAAGATCGACGGAAAAAACAAACCAAAGGAAAAAAAATCGCATATAAGCTTATAGCGTGCTCTCAACTTAGTGTTCTAGATGCACTTCCACAGTTATTAATTGAGAGCTTTCGGTGCCTGTACCATTTTTGCATTGGTATAATTGTGTGGCAAGTCCAATCATACTCTATGCCCAGGGAAGTCGAGCAATTTTCCAACCCGAAAAATTCCTAGACAGGACCGGGAATTGAACCCAGCCACATCCAGCATGGTCTTGCTTTGTAGCTGCGCCTTTACCGACTGAGCTAAGGGAGGCCCCTGCTTGTTTGCTGTGATACTAGAAACAGAGAGTAGCAATTTCAAATTTGTATGTTTTGTGGAAGCAGATTTGTCTCTACAACTTTAGTTCATTATATTTTAACTATTATTTACAGTTCCTAGCCCTATCAGGCCTGTCTAGAGAATGCTCACCTTGGTGGGATAGGTTTGTTTGGAATTGGGAAAAGGAGGCAACCCGACTATTATTTATAACCTGCAACTTCTAATTTTCAGGAATGTTCAGCAAGGATGAGGATTGCAACGATTTTTGTCTGAAATTATTAATTTTGGCCATCAACATTTGTTCTAAACACTCTACATTTGAAATGTTATGTGCCCCAGTAGGAATAGGAATAGGAAAATCCACTAACCACTCATTTTATCAGTCAAACTTTCATAGCGAATCAAAACATACCTTGTGTAGTGCTAGAATTTTGACTAGAATGGGGTACGTTAATCGTTTGCTTGGGACCAATAGGCTAGTCAAGCAGTGAGCCAATTTGAAATCGTTAGTTTCGTATTGATTGTTGGTAGTACTGTACTAGGGACGCATCTTAAAAATCATCTTCAGAACATTGTCATTTTTCCTGGTAGTGAAAGAACTAGACCATATTGGCACAGCATAAGGCATGGCCAGCCTAAACACATTTAGAAGTTTATTCTTCAGGCAAACTTGGGATTTCCGGTTTATAAAAGGATACAATCATTACAATCAATCTAAGCTGCTTCCGCACTTCTATTAGCATTTTCTCAGTGTCACGCACACATATGACGTGTCTATTTGTTTACATTTATCTGCTGCTAGCTATTCTATCCATTCCAATCGACAGAACTGTTCGAAACGGTTTGAAAACGTTTTTAAGGCGCTCCAAACTTCTCAGGTGAGTGTGACTATTGTCGGCAGCCTCTTTTACTTCGGCACCCGTTCCGTTGAAACTGCGTGTTAACCAGCTGCTCTATTATTGGCAACTCAAAATCAGCCGAATTTTGATGTGCTTATGTTTCATTTGAAGAAACACCTGGCATAACAGGTTTGCTTAGTCGTAAAAATGTATTAAGATTGAAGCTGATAGACCAAGAAATCGTTGAAATACATTCAGCGAAGTGTTTTAGTGAGAAAATACAGCGAAATTAACGTTTAAATTGTGGTTGCCGGAAACATTCGATGCCTGCCTAAGCCATCATTTACCCTATTTCACTTGACTTGACCAAGAAATTGGAACTCCGTTTCTAGTAACATAACTACTACACAGTTATAAATAACTAATTTTACACGTGACGAAATCCACCTTTGACATAAAGGATGAGACGTAAACATACATGTCATGTAGAATTAAGTGCTCCGAGACTGAAAAGTTCGAAAGTACGTTTGATTGAGCTGAATTTGGCGTCTATTATGACTCAATTTTATGTCAAAATTGACGCTCGTATATGTTTAAATGAGATTTTTTTCAGTCATATAACTAGTAAAAGAAAATATTTTTTCAACGAATTCAGTATTTTTTATTAAAAACATAATGTTTATTCTTCAAAAAAACGTCAATGAATATTGGAGAAGGGGCCCTGGTCAGCCGTACGACGCAAATTAGTCGCGATGCTCTCACAAGAGCGCTGGACGGCACTGAAATCATTCTCATTTTTTATTGAACACCCGTTAGAGCTGCATCTTATTATATGTAAAATACTTCTTCATTGCAGTAGCAACTATATTATCCATATAAATGTGTTTCATTATGTCATATTTTAGTGTTTTGATATATTTCATTTTTCCGTTGCATATATTTTCATTATAGGGGAAAAGTTGGCTTCGGCAATACCTTAACCTATTATCGTCAGGGGGGTAAACAACGTCCTTGAGAGCTCAATTTTGGCATGTGGATACATTGTGTTTCAGAGCAACTATTGGCCAAATTTGAGTGCTCTAGGACTTTGTTTACCCCCTGACGATAATAGGTTAAGGTATTGCCGAAACCAACTTTTCCCCTATAAAGAAATACTGGGTTGGGAGGGAGCATCAGGGTATCACTCAAACTGAAACTGGACGATGGTATGATTGACACCCGGAGTCTAGGAGGGAATAAACACTATCATTTTCTTTATCCTACCGATTAGATTGTGGTGGTGTGAATTCTACTCCAACAGGTTCAGCGCGATTGACGCGCCCTTCTTAACAAACCATCCAGTAGGAAGCTTAATAAGTATTGCGAATTGTGTTATTCGATTTGTTGGAACGTATCGTTGGAAGGAGATTCTTAAATTCCCGTGGATTTCGCGTAAGTGTCTCTGCTTACGGGTCCGCCCTTCCGTTTTTGGCACTTCATATAGCGATATTGTGAATTCAGATCGGTAGCTCAAATTGATCTTGATATTAAGTGGAGCTGAATACAAGACAAGTCTTGAAGGGATGGTGGCTACCTTACATACATACACACATACAAATTCTTCCTTTGGTTTTGTTTTTTCCGTCGATCTTGTTTTCCGTGCTGAGCACCAATGCTACCGACGTGCCAGGAAGGCAGCTCCCACACCTGGACCCTACCTATCGACCCATCAACTCATGAACCGGGGACCAACGGCTTTACTTCCCATCCGAAGGAAGGCGTGATCAGAGATGTTATGCCTCAGAACATCCCGGCGGCGCCGACTGGGATTGAACCCAGGCCTGCTGGGGTGAGAGGCAATCACGCTTACCACTACACCACCGGCGCCGTTCTACACATACAAATTGACGCTCGTATATGTCAGTCTCGGAGCACCTAAATATACATCAATTTTTCTGAGTGTGTAGGTTTCAAGAAGGAAGCTCTCGGCTTATGTGGAAATATTATAAGTTGAGTTTAGGAAGCGTTGGGAGAAATCATCCATTTTTGTAAATAAGAATAGAACATATCTAAACTTTTCTGCAATCTGCTGCAAATAACACGAAGACTTCTTCCTCTAGCGAAAATGCCTGTGTCATCGGCGAATAAAGATTTGTAGCAACCCTAAGGCAAATCAGGGAGGTCCGAAGTGAAAATGTTATACAATAGTCCATGAATGCTACTCTGAAAAACTTCTGCTCGAACCGGTAGTCGGTTAGATTTGGAATTTTGATAATATATCTGCAGAATTCTGTCAGTTAAATAATTTTGATCTAATCCCATAATATAGAGTGAGAAATTAAACTTTTTTAATTTAGCAATCAAACCTTCATGCCAAACACTGTCGAATGCTTTTTCTATTTATGTCTAGAAGAGCAACTCCAGTTGAGCAGCCTTCAGATTTGTTTGGACGAATTAAATTGGTAACTCTTACGAGTTGATGAGTAGTTGAATGCCCCTGGCGAAATCCAAACTGTTCATCTGCAAAAATTGCGTTCATATTGATGTGAAGCATCATTTTATTCAAAATTATCTTTTAA